TTTTTATTGGATTTTTTAGACGTTTTAGGCGGCATAATGAAGATCATGAAAAATAGAAAAAGAGTATGCTCAAGCATTTAATTCTATAAATATCGCGCCATTGATTGTGATGCTTGATCGCCATCACGATAATTCTTTAATCAATTGATTTAGATGCATGACAACAGCCTACGTCTATTTAATTTTCTGATTCGAAATTCTAAAATTGAAAATAGGATTTTTTTTAAATTTCAAAAAGTTAATTCTGAACCCTTAATACTAAAAAATTAGTTTTGGCATTGTTCGCATTTAGTTTGTAATTACTTATAATTCACCTACACTTAAATAAACTTTAACTTTAACACAACGACCACATTTTATATCACAAATACAGAATCAAATTGTCGCTAAAATCTTTCTTGCATGAAAAAATTCTGTGCCAGGTTTTTGTCGATCATTTAATACATGATCAAGTTGTACCGATAATACAAAATTGAAGATCCTAACTTCTAGCGATTATTTCACAAAGAACTACTTGATAAAATCAGGTAAAAACTTTTTATTTTAATTATATAATTTCGTAGAAATAAAATAAAAAAAAGTTCATCAAATTTGGTTTAGTAGTGTCAAGAAATCATCGCGAAAAGTTTTTTTTTTTTTTTGAAGTTTAAACGACACTTTTTCGACAATCAACTACCCAAATTTGATGATAATAATGAGCTTTAAATTAATTTTCTTTTTTTGGTTAGAATCAGTATTTCCAAACCAGTTTTTTCTAAGATTGCTTGTCTGTTTGAATTGCCATTTTCAGCAGACATCAAATACCAATACCATTCAAATGCCATTTTCCTTCATTAGTTAGATAAAGAAATTACATATGGCATTATATTTGACTTGCCATGATTTTATCAAGATATAATCGAAGATAAACTAATTCTATATTCAATTGCCATTATTATTTTAGTATTCTGCATTTTACTTACACTTGACTATTCTAAATTAATTATTACCATATAGACACCTGATAATGGTACATTAGTACTTAGTGAGATGTTTAAAAATTGAAAATTACTCGTTTTTACTTGGCTGCACTCAAATATAGAAAATTTTTAAAGCCAATATCTTAACTTACCTGATATTATTGTGCTTTGCAAAAAGATGTGGTTTCTGCAGATCACATGACATTTGAAAATCGGAGATTCTGTAAATTTTAAGAATCTTAACAAAAATTGCAAAGCACAATAATTAAAATATGTTGGCATTTGATTGTGTCAGACTTTAAACATAGCAGAAGCGTTTGGATTATGGCAGTTTGCAAAAAGGTGTGGCCCTATGATTTCATGATGCTTAAAAAAATATATTACACCAAATTGGCGAATGCAAATATGCTAAATTTTAAGGAAAAAAAGTATTTTTATCTGGGATTACTATTTTTAAAAGAATTATTTTTTAAATTAAACCAATTTTTAATATTAAGTAAATTAATTAGCCAAAAAACTATGTATTTTAAAAAATTTTATAATTAATTATATATGCACCAAATTTTAGATATCATATAAAAATTGGTCAACTTTAAATTGATATATCTTTTAATTAAATAAATTTTTCAAAAATCTGTTTTAGCCAAATTATAATAACATCGAAAAATAACAATTTATCTAAATTAGTTTTTTGATTTAGAATAAATTTTTTTAGTAATATCAATTTAAAAACTGGCTTTTATATATGTCAGTTTATGCTGTCCCGCACTGTACAACCTCAGTATCTAAAAGTCGTCCTGCAAGTGTAAATCTTGATGGTGGATTATACTTTAATTTCTTGAATAAATCCTTTATAAAAGGATTCTCAATGACTTCAAATGGAACTCTAGCCATAACCCATGCTTTTAGTAATGATTGATCAAGTATTTCTGGAGAAAAACAATTCACCTCTTGCAAATCATTTACTTGAGTACAAATTGTATTAGCTTCTTCAATTAACTTTTGACGCCAGTAATTGCTAATATCTTCAGGGCAATTTACACAGTAATTAGCCAAATGTGCTTTCATGACTTGTGGTTTTCCATGTTCCCAAACAGCTAAACAGTGCTGACAAGATGCTTTATAATGTCCATTGCCCCTACTAGTACCTTTTGTATAAAATAACCAAATTTCATCAAAGGTGGGGCCACAACTTTTTCGCTTTTTATTAAATGTGTTGAACTTGAAA